TTTAAGGTGTTGATTTGTTGAATTCATAAATAAGGATTTAACACACAGCTAGTGGTTGTTGGTTGTGAATTAACAGAGTGTGCATAGCGAAATAATAATGTTGAGTGATGTAAAAAGTTGGATGTGATTTTAAGTAGTGCATAAAGTTGTGACGATGGAAGTTTATTTAAAGGCACTTTGAAATGAATTTCATAAATTCTTTTCATTTCATTTTTATCGTTTTTTGATGACCATCACACTTTAACTTTATGGCTTCGTTCTAGGATTACAAACATTTGTGAATATCATCAATAAACGCTTACAAATACGAATAGATCTGTTATTATTATTGTTATCATTATTATTACCGTTGAATTGAGTGCGAGCTCTACAAGAGCGTTTTTTGAAAGGTGATAGTTCATCATCGAAAGTATCTAAGTTGAGCCGTTTCATCATTAATATGTCCGTCATTTGCGCAACTGAAATTATTAAACGAAGTGAAGTAAGTGATCACGTTGATTGCCGAATAAAATTTGTACGATCGTTTATTAAACGTTCATTTGCAAGCTTTGAACGTGTCTATTTGTAACAGTGATGGATAGCACTTGATTTTTGTTGTGAGCGGATGGATTACAACTCGAAAAGGTGGTCATCCACCTCAGATTTTGCTATAAAAAGAAACTGAAGTGCGGAGATTGGAGTGAGGATGAACGACGTATATATGTGGTCATGTGCTGAGTGCACGAATTTGGATTTATTTGAAAGTTGGCCAGATGAAGTTATGAAGGATTTGAGAAGAAAGACGATGTTCAAGGATATACGCACTGCGGGATTCTGGGAGAAGTGGGGTACGCTTGCGGTTTCACACGTGAAGAAAAAGATTTTTTGCTGCAGTTCTAATTTGAATCAGCGAAATAGATTCGATTCGATCGATCGATTCTTCGATCCAATTATACACTGAAAATTTTTTCGCACATTGAGACCGATTGTAAGAATGAGAAGAGGGCAGTGAAAATTGTGGCTTAAACAAATTAATGACGAGTGAATATGAATACATCCGTAATATATGCATGCATAAGTATTTGAGCTGAATGCAATGGCAATGAGTTTTGTGTGCACGTAAACGGATGGGTAATTTTTGTAGTTAGTATGGGTTAGTTTGATTGTCAACTTTAAGCACCTTAGGCAAGAAGCAACTGTATATAGGAGTTTATTAGTGGTTCGTAAGCAGATGTGAATGTATGTGTTGTTTATGTATATGTAGTAAGCAATTATAAGATTGCAAGCTAGTTAGCTGAACATTGAGATGAATTATGGGTGGGAGAGTGTGATATTCGTTTAATGTTGATATGATGGATGAAGTGAATGCACTTTATTATTGGTCGATGCTGCTATAATATCACATAAAGATGCTGTTAAAACTACGGTAATGATTTATTTGCTAACACTTGTATAGATAGCTGAACGAGCTGTGATATATAAATGATTTGGGAGGTGATAGTGATAATTAATTATATAGTAGGTGTTTAGAAGAATTTGTTGTTGTTATTTTTTTAATTTGGACGTGAAATGATTAGCTTAAGGGTTAGATGAGTGCATGAAGTAATTAAGTGCGAAGTGAATATTTCGAGAGTGTTTGACTTGATGATCGTATGTAAACGTTGTGGAGGTTGGAGTGGAGGATGGAGGAGCTGAGAAGAATCATAGATAAATGCTTGAAAGATTGATCGTTGACGTACAATAGAAGAGTATATGAAAAGTATTCACAAAATTAGCATTATACATGGCGCAGATCAAATTCGTTTTGAAGAAGAAAATTTGAATGGGCATTTTGATATGGTGCGTCAGCGAACAATAAGATGATATGATAAGAAATATATTTGGGAAATGATTTAGAGTGCGTTTGAAATGCGTTGAGTTTGAAATGAGATAAAATAAATAGAATAGTACGTAAAATATAGCTGGCTGATTGAGTGGTGGATCGAATTGATTGAGCTGAGTAACGACCGGAAATAAGGCAGGCAGCCGCGAAATGGATGGAAGAGGAGAGCCGTGATGTGATGCCTATTTGCAGTGTCGGTATTGTTGTTGTACACTTATATAATGCACTGATAAGCGATGACACATACTGCTCGAGAGCATGCAATGAAAAATAATGTGAAATATTCGCATTCTTCATGGTTTTTTCGAATATCTTTATGGATGTATGGTATTGATATGATTATGTGTTTGGGTGTGTATGATGAGACTACATTGATAGAGAGAGTAGAGATTTGAGTTGACGATAGTCGATTATGTTTATGAGCAGAGTTCAGCAGATCAAAAGTGAACATAAAAGGAATGAATCAGTGAAACTGATAAGTACTAATCTCTGATCAGATCAGTCCAATTCAATAAGATTCTCTCGCAAAAAAACGTCTTTTTTGATGAGAAAAACAGGTGATGGGGGTATATACTGGTGTTTTTATTGCTGTTAGCTGAGAGTTAGGTATTGTTTTAGGGGAATTTGTTTTGATTACTGAGGAGTTGAAATACTTTCGGTACTTTCTCATTTCTGATTTGTTGAAGTGTGTTCGATGAGAATTGAGTGTTTAGTGAGAGTAGATGAACGTTTCATTACGGGGAATCACTGGATGAGAAGACTTGAGTGGAATATGAATTAGATACGAATCTGTTTCCCATATGATTCACCAATTAGATCAGATTCGATCTGAACTCACGCCCACAAACAGCTCATGATGGCATTGGCAAATTGAGGTGAAAAAATGTGTTGTGAAATAGAATTGATAATGCGTTGATTGTCTTCTTTTTTTGCTGAATGCTTTACGAATGTCAGTCATTCAACAATTTACTGATAAGGAGGAATAGAATGGAATGATTTGAGGGTGGTACTGATCATTGACTGGTCGAGAGGAGTGTTTGACTGGTGTGATTTGTGACTGACTGAGGAGAATTTTAAAGATTGATAAGGCAGAGCTTTTGTGTTATTGTGGGTGTTGAAGCTAAAGAATGAGTGTTACTGATATCACATCATCATGAATTGTTGTTTCTATGTGAACACTTCATTGATCATATCAAATCCGTCGTTTCGTGTGAACTCATCAAGTGATTGCTTTATTTTGCTGCGCACTGTGCTGATCGCTTGATTATAGCAAAAAGAGATGTTCGCAGGAGTGAACACGTAGAGTACGTTGAAATGTTTAACGAATTGTTTCTTGATGAGCACATAAAAGAATGTAGAAAAATGAAAAGAAACAGAATTGTTGACATTTGTCAATAGAGTAGACGTCATCGTTGTTAATATTTATTACTATTGTCTGTGATATGATAAGAGAGAGCAAATAAAATGTAGCGATCATGAAGCCATGTCGCCATGCCCTGCTGATGTCATTCATGCTTTTATGACTGACTTTTATGACGAATGAATTTCGATCTCTGAATGGAGAGCAGTTGAATTAATCTTTGAATCAGTCAGTTGACGACATCAACTTGTAGTATGGAAGAAGAATTCATTAAGGAGACATGAAAGGAGGATATTTATGGAGTTGTTGGTATTGAGCTGTTTCGATTAGGATATCAGTCATTCACTGCTAATCACAACAAGCAGTTTTAGGTGTTCATAGTGCTAATAATAATAATAATAATAATAATAATAATAGTTACAAATAGCCGTCAAAAGAGGTAGGATACCGAACCGACAGTACGGTGGAGTTTGGTTTTGAGCAGTTCAAGGGGCAGAATAGATTCGAAGTGATCATTGGGACTGGCATTGTTCATATGTGGTTGTTGCATTGAGGAGTTTGAGAAGGAATGGTGAGTAATTGACGAAGTAAACATCAACGAGGTCTTATAAACGGTGAAGCAGCAGCAGGAGCAGGCAAGCAAGCGCAAGCAGTTTGTGTTTCAGAACAAGACCAAACCTTTCACCTCCTTTTCAACCACTAAAACTCCACCCCTATCCGTCTTCATGATCACTTACAGTCTCTTTTGTAGGACGTTGATTTGAGCTATCTTTCAAGCCGAAACATTTCCTGTCAACAGTGTTTTGTACGGTTTGCTGGTGTCTGCACGACCGGAAACCATGATGTTTTCACGGTACCCAACCAATTTTGGCTCTAATCTCTCAGCGTCGCGTTCGTCTACACCCCCTGGTCTCCCTGTCGTCTACTGAACCATTCTGAAAACTTTCAAATGTATTTTGAAGGTGATTCCTACGGATAGTGCTTAATCAAATGCGAAATGAATAAGTGCATGATGCAGCCATAATAATAAGTAATCATTATGTTATCCCTACCGTTGTTTAAGTAGATCAATGCAAATTTATTAATATTATATGTTTTTTTTTGCATTTTGACAAGACTTAATTAAGTGACTCTTCATTGGTCTCGTCACACATTTATAAACACAAACTACACTTGGTGGGTCTGGTTAA